TTATTTATTTATTTATTTTGAATAGATGCTATGAAAAAGATAGCGCTTACTTGACTAATTTCACTTACGCATTGAAGCAATTTTTAGTTTCTCTAGTGATGGAATAAATTCTTTTTGGATTCAATAAACACATCTTTGATAGAATTAATAAGCATTGCAATGTTCCATCGCTGTCGTGTAATTTTACAAAAATCCAGTTTAACTCTTGAACATTTTAGTTACCCATCGCGGCAGGTACAAGTTAAAGAAATGCCACTAATTCATATCAAAATCAACTTCATATGAACATTGCTTTAATTTTTTTTTAAAATAAGCTATTTTAATATTAAATAGGAGCACCAAAATGCTTGGTAATTTTTACCAAAGTGCTTTGGTAAGGATTGTGGTAAGATTCACATTGACTTATAGTTTTCTAATTGGAGATAAAATTTGGTAATTGTGGTACAATTTGTTAATTTCATCATGATACCTTACTACATGGCATAAAAACCATTTGTTTGGTTAAATTTACTTTTCAGTTTTGTAATTTTTATTAAATGTATGGTTATAAGAGCTATAATTTTAAAAACTAGAATTTTCGGTAAACCATTACTATATGAACAAACATTTACCAAATGAATGGTTTAATTACCGCATATTTTGGTTTATAGTGGTTTTTATTTTATTTTGGTTTTGGCACTATAAATTAATGATAACAATGGTTTTCATAAACTTTAATAATTAAAGACAAATAGATAACAACTTCGTTATTTTATATTAATATTTTTTCTACAATTTGCTACTAATAAGCAAAAAATTATAAAGTTTCGTTCATCAGCGATAGATTGTGTTAGATTTAAATAAATTTTTGTAATGTTCTTTTATTTTTTCTTACGCCAAACACAAATAATACTTTTATTAACTGTCCGAGCCGATTTATAGTGTTTTTTATCACAAATATTATCGCTATGCAGTGCGAAAATTTTACCAGAATTTCTTTTCTCCGTGTTTACAAAAAGGTTTAACGCAATCCTGAGCCTGCATCGTACGTTTTTTTTTTTCGTTTAAATTGTAACGATGAAAAAAAAATCAGCACGTATATCATGTGTTTCACTTACGCATTGAAACAATTCTTAGATTCATTAGTGAAAACCCTAATGGAATTAAATAAACATAGTAATTTTCCATTCATCTAGTAATCTAAACTGGAATCTCCGGTTTTGTTTATGCTGTCGTGTGATTCCATAGAGATCCAGTTAACCACTTGAGCATTCTCGTCATACATCGTGATAGGTAGGTAAGTAGGTAGATAATCGTTACTTGTCAGATTAGCCTATTTTAAGAACGAGGAAACTATATTCCCTTTTTTTTACCTACTTCCATACAGTTACTAAACTATAAAAAATGAATTTGCGTATTTTAAAACTTGTTTTAGGGGATCAGGTATTTTGTGTATTGAATCTATTATTAAAAACTTAAGCATCTTTGAAAGAGTTGCTTATTTTAGTTCTGGTTGTTTCTTTTATGAATATTAAACATTTGATAAACAATGCAGGTCAGTGTTTTTTATGGCGGGTTAATTTTTTTCACGATTTATTGCTACTTGGATTCATTATAAAATATATGAATATACAAGTTTTTATTAACTTTGTTGTTTAGTATTTTGCACACTTTTTTAATGCAAAAAGTGGGTAATTAGCTATTTAAAAAGAAATCTTTCTAAAAATAAGATTTTATTACATCTCGTTATGCATGTAAATAAAACACCTTTGTGGCGTTGATTCATGGAGGAATATACATTTTATTTTTAAATTTTAATGTTCTTTTTTACTCTAATTAAAAGATAAAAATTCTACAAAACATAATCTGCTAAAAACTAGATTTAGAGGTATAAAAATAAGCATTGGAGGTTTTGAGTTTTATTGAATTTTAAACTTGTTAAGAGAGGTAATACATGTTGTTTATGAAATTGAATGCATTAATAAATAGTTATACATATTTAAAATTGTTATTTATTTAAGTTCAACTCATATTTCTCTCTGATCATTAAACGTTTCATAAACTGGCTCATTATAAAATTCGTGTTAATTTTTCTCGATAGATTATTATTATTACTCAATTTGTATTTTACACACTTTTTTCAAATATTAAGTAAAAAAATTAATTTTTGCAGAAGAAAATTGCGTTGTTAAATTCTATATAAACTAGCCTTATTTACATCTCATTAATTAATAAAAAATTAATTGCACAGAAATGTATGCATTTTATATTATTCATTTAATTTGTAAAATTTATCAGATGATAAATAATGAAATGCCTGCCAAATAAAATATAATCAGTGTAAAATAAATTTCATCTGTGAATAGAACTATTTATTATTTCTATGAGCGGAATATTAATTGCTCTATTTGATGGGGCACGTGGCCTTGTCAAGGAGAACTAGTTTATTTTATTTTCATGAGAGCCGTTAGTTTGCCTTGCTATAGAAAAAACTAAATTAAAATTTCTTTCCGAAAGTAAAGTATTATTTTTTCAGTGTGTGTTAAGATGTTTCTAAATACTGTAGCTACTCACCTGAATTATAATCAATATATAGAATCAATTAAATCAATAAATAGAGAATCGGTACATTTATTTGTTTAATCTAGTTTATTTCTGATTTATGTATTTTAATCAGTTCCATAAAGGGATGGTAAGTTCTACCCACAGTAATGAAAACCGTAATGAATCATGAAAAGAACCATCCCGAAAGAAATAGATTTCTCCCCAACCAAAATGAAGAATTAGAAGAAACTCTTCTTTTTCTCCTTTTTTTATATATATATTTTTTATATTTATATATTTCTCCTTTTTATATATATATATATATATATATATATATATANTATTTTTGAAACAGTTCAGAATTACTATCTAGTAAAAATAATAGTACCAATACCAAGTTATTTAAAATATCATTTTTAAATAAGTAAAGACTAAAAGGCAGCAATTGGATTGAAAAATTAATTTAATGAACTTCTTAACATATTTAAACAACTGTATAGATTCTTTTTATTTTCTTTTTTTTTGTAGCAAAACTATAGTAGAATCTAATTTTTGTAAATAACACTTACTATATCATAATAATTTTTAAATGTGTATTTTAAAAATCATTTGAAATTTTTAAATAATATATGTTAATTATTTTTTAACTTAATAAATTGGGGCATTTACCACATTCTATCTCAGTGCGACCTTGTCTGCATCGGACATACTAGTTTTAAAATTTAGACTTAAGGAACGCAATAAATATTTCCGTTATTAATCATCAATTGCCACACATTGTTGGAATCTTGGGCATCAATTCGGTTTCGACAATACCGAAATCATTTCCACCCCTGCCACATCAGCTCATATTGATGCACTGGAATCTTGTTTTATTCATAAGAATGCTGATTCAATTGTTAATGATATTAGTTTCTCATCCCCTCTCTATAACGCATGGAAATGTATTTTCCCCAGATTAAAATTTATAAGGAAAATTTAATCACTTGAAAAATTCTTACAACAAAATGTTTATAATAGTAATCAGAATCAAATATGTTGCTTAACATTAAAATTATTTGCCTGGCAGTTAGTAATAACTTTTTCATTATTATTATTTTTAAAAGTTTATTATGCAGTTAACTAAGAAGTAATGCAACTTCACATAATTTATTTAAATATAAGTGTATATGTTTATTTAGGAAAGTAAGGATACCGACGAATCCATTCAAAAATAAATTAGTAAATTAAAATAGCAATCAAAATAAAATTTGTTGCTTAATCCAAAAACTATCTGCCTTGCAGTTAGTAATAACTTTTTCATTTTTTTTTTTAATTTTTGCAGTTAACTAAAAAGGAATGCAATTTGTTTTATAAAGAATTTTAAATTCTGTATAAAACAAATAATAATAAAAAAAGGTTTTTTTTAATTAAGTTATTTTTTTTTATTAATTTATTTTTTAATTAAGTTTTAAGTTAATTTTAATTATTTCAAAAACTTTTATCTTTCTTGTAAAATTTTAAGGTTTATTTGTTTAAGTTTAAATTTGTCTTATGATACTTATCGTAAACAATTGTTTTGATATATTTAATTCCTTCTATTTCGTCTAGTTAATCGTATTTCTACTGATTCTTTCCTGCTTCTTGCGTTTCATCAAACCGTTTCCACTTTCTTCCAGTAAATCCCATTTTTACAAATTGGATATGCAGAATTTTAAATTCTGCATAATACGAAGAGATAGTTATTTTTTTTTAGAAAAGTAAATCTTAAAAACTTGTCTCATAATGCTTATCGCTAAAAGAATTCTATTGGTCATTCTCTGTTTCTTCTATTTCTTTTCATTTTTTCCAATTTCTTAAAGTGTCCTGAAAAAAATAGGTTTCTTTTCCAAACATTTCCAACTATAGTTCTACATAGAATATAATTTTTTTTTTTTTTAAAAACAAATTTATTTATTATAATGTATTACATCAATAACTGCAATAATTTTCTTTCAACAACATTTCTAGTGTATTTATTTGAGAAAGAATTAAAAAGTCTTCACACATAACTTTTTTTTGAAAATTTTCATACACATGGCACTATTTTCATGGATATACATGAGATGTCATTTTCTAAATTAGACCTATTGAAATAAAGCAATTTTTAAAAGTTTCCAACAGGAATTGGAATTCTATTTATTTGCACTTGCTATTGATACCTGTTTTTCTGATTGAAAAAGAAACCGATCACACTCTAAATATTTGAATAACAATTTATCTTCTTTGATGTAAAGAAAAATACTTATTTAAAAATCAATTAAAACTAATTAACAAAAAGGTTCTTATACGTCATAAAATAATTATATAAATTTTTTTTATCTGTAATAAAATCAAAAGCATTAGTGTATTTACTTTGTGAACTTATTTATCTTTCTAAAAAAAATCGTTTCGTTTTTTAATTGTGTTTGTATTGTTTTCAGACATTTATCTCTTATTCAATTACTTTTTTTTTCTAGTTTGTTGGATCTGATGTTCCATTTTACGATAACGATGTCACCAAGAAAGATAACTACCAATACACCAACCTACAGCCACCAGTTCTTAGTCAAGCTTCAAATCAGTATAGCAATAACACTGTAATGGAATATATACTTGCCACTGAGCCGATAGATGGTAAGTTTGTTACCTTTATTTCGCATTTAAAACTATCACTACACCACAAATTACTAGTTATCAGACTTTTTTTAATATTTTTTCTGGCATTCAGGCTGTTTATTATATTATATCATAGTTAATCTGCTTGTACAAGTTATTTTCCCCCCTAATCTGAACTGTACTATAAAAATTAGATTTTACAAAATAAATAACGAGTTTTTTTTTTGTTAAAAAAATTATAAAATTAAATCAATGGTACAAATTTAACTTTACATAATAAGTAAAGAATAATTAGAATTTGTTTTAAATATANATTTGTCAAATCTTCATAGGTATCCATTTGATCTTACTCTGATTTCAAATACACTTGATTAATCAAATAAAATATGCTATTGCCGAATATATATATATATATATATATATATATATATTAGGTTATTGACAACCGCTGACGATAAACTTCTCATTAGTTGAAGAAATTTGGAGCGAGTTCTAAAGCTCCGTGCCGTGAAACCGACCCATAATCAATTTAATTTACGGAGATATAAACGATATAAACCCTTGTCTCTACAATGTATTTTTCCAGCCACCCTATTAATTATAGCTTGCATAGTTTTTAGTTTAAATTTACAATACTATATGTAAACTATAATATTTAGAATGTATAACACAACATTTTAATTAGAATTTCGGACTAACCAATTAATAACTTAGGGAGAGATGGGTATGCAAACCAAGAAATTTTTATAATAGTAAGCGTGGGAGATATAAAAGCATTCTTTTACCGGTCAGATACTAATCGTATTGAAAAATTATAACTAAATACAGATTAACTAATTAATATATTTAGTGTCAGTCTTTTTTGAAATTAGAGTTTTTATCCTAACTGTTAATTTTAATATGAACTAAATGAGAGTTTGACATAAATGAAAAAAAGCAATAAAAACTGTCAGATATTCAAATAAAAAAAAAACATTAAACGGAAAACAATGGATAGAAGGAAAAGTTCTAGAATTATGTGCACTATTGTGACTGGCTGAAACTTAGGCAATTTACAATAATGCATTAGGTAATAAAAATTTGTAATGAGTCAAAATTAGAATTGGAAATAGAAAAGAAACAAATATTTTCTTTTCAAACTTGACATGGAGTTATTGACAAGAGATTTTAATCCAACGAAATTTCAAAATTACAGGTATGTAGCTGTTAATAGTTGGGACACGTTATAATGTTTTAGTCGTACATTTCTTCAAAAACCATTTAAAATTTTGATAGCGTTTTTGTTTTTTCCTGGTTAAAATAATTATTTGCGAATACTGATCTACTTATTTCATTTTTTTTTGGACGAGGATTTTAGAAATACACAATAAGGACGGCTATTTCCCAAAAGCTTGTTCATATAGGCATTTAAAGACTTTAGGCGTTAAATTATTATTTTTGCGTCTCTTGCGTGACGCTAAATTTAAAATAGATTTATAAAAATAGTTACATTATTCTTTCAGACTTACAATGGGAACAAACCCGTGCATGGCAATACAGCAAACATCCCCAACAGTGGAGCGATACTGAAGTTTTAGAATGGCTTATAAATTGGTCGAAGCAGGCAAATATTGATTTATTGGATTTGAAGTTCATTCCAGAGCTCAACCGCATGGATGGTCAAACTTTATGCTCACTATCAGAACAACAGTTTTTCACACTAGACAATCAATATGGTCCCATGATATATCAAAGCTTACAAACTGAATTAAGTAATCACTGTAAGTACACATTCTATTTAAATTTATTTTTAATAAATTAAAATTTAGGTAATATCTATGAGAAGTTTCATAAAGCATGCTGAAAATAAAGTATGGACAAAATTACCACAATATTGTAAAATTAAACCATGTTTCTGGCTATTTGGGGGATCATCAAAAAGCACGGTAAATTTTTCCAGTGAGCTTTGGATAATAATAATTATTATTATCGAAATAATAATAAATTAATAACAGTAAAATATGGTTTTATTGCGTGTGAGGAAATTCGGTAAAATTTGGTAATTTCATCATGATATCTTAAAGCATGGCTTAAAATCAATTTATGTGGTTAATATACTTATATCAGTTTTGTGTTTGTTACTAAATATGTGGCATTAACTAGAGCTTAAACTGCAGTATGTCACCTTTAACCGTCCTGAAATACTGTTAAAATTCGCTTGAAAGGAATCAGATATGCTTTTTATTTTAATTCTTACTTAAGTTGAAAGTTAAAGAGTCTGTTATTTATTAATAGGTTTACTGATTTATTATTTTAAAAATTAGTTGAACTTTGAGATTAAAAACATGGAACCAGACATAGGGAAAATTACAAGGTTTGACTCTCTTCTAAAAATGACTTAGTGTCACGGCAAAAATGTGATATAGCGAGTGAATAAATGAATGAATGAATAAACCAATTAATCAGCTAATTAAGGAATTAATGACTTAACTAATCACTCAAGTAGCTGCTTTAGTTAGATTGTTTAAAACGATTTTCTACAGACTCCCCCCCCCCCCNCCCCGAAAAAAAATTTAAAATCTATAATTATACAAATTTCAAAAGTGGAAGCCATCTAAAACTTAACATTTTAAAATTATTTTTCCACTGAAATACTGTATTTGTCAGCTTGTAGACAATAACAAATATGGCAGTCCCATATGTAGTGAATATTATTTTACATTATTATCGGTGTTGAACAGCCAACTCAATGAACTTCATTACTATTAATGTTAAACACAGTAGCCCTGTATTTTTGAAACCAACCCAAAAAACAAAGATACTTCTGGGACAAACTAGCCTCGTGAAGGACTGTTTGTTGGCAGTAACCCGCATCTTTACATGGAGAACTCTGAAATCCTTACATGATTAGCACGACTACAAATGAACTCTAACCCATGATCCGTCTACCAGGTTATTTTACGCCAGTACTGTTGTCAGTGCTAGCCGGGAACGGAATTCGTGCCAACCAGGCACCGCTGGGGTACGAACATGAGTCACCACATTGGGAAGCGAACGCTCTCTATCTCGTGAACCACCGCGGCTCATTTACTGCGAATAGTATAATTAATGACTTAGTGCGAATGATAGACAATTAATCATCAAAATGATCCACCGTCTTAAGAGTTCTAAAATTTAACTAAACTGCGCCTGCGCTAAATCTGATTGTGTAACTTATGTTTGATAGGGTATAGAACTAAATATATCAAAAATTGTATTTAGTTTTAAAGCCTATCAATCTAAAATCTGCAACAGCTCTAGAAAAACTCAACTTTATTTGTTTAAATATTTTCAACTACATAAACTGATACTATATGTGAAAGGAAATAACTTAAATATTTTTATCTGCAACCACTCAGAAGTGACGGGAGATATGATAAGCAATTTTTTTTAACACACAAGAATATGATATTAAAGTGAAACTACCTCTCTCAACTCTTTATCTTGAGAAGCTTTTCTTACACTGAAAAAAAATAGATAAGAACTAGTTATCCTTCATATTCTTCAAGAGGCTTGTTTAATGTTTATTTTTTTTTTAAAAAATCGAACTTTGTATTTTTCAGATCATCCACTGAGTCCATCGTCTCTGGAGATGTCATCGTTTGAGTCTGATCACCGACTTCCAGCTTTCCATAATACATGGACCACCGACCCTTTCTCAAATCTTTTATGCGTCGCTGGATCTGATATTCAGGGTAGCAGTCCTTCATCGAGTCATGGTAAGTATATTTATAATTTTATACACTATTATTAAGTAACTAAGAACACAGTATTTTTAAGTGTTCATTTCTCAAAAACTGTTCAATCGAATTCAAATTTCAACTAAATAGTTTAAAATTATTAAAAATTCCATATCTGACAAATTTAATAAATTTTCCAACTATAATCAAATCAAATAATTTAAATCAATAAATAACTATTACAATTATTTGTTGTATGAAATTATTACTGTATAACTGAGTTTTGTAATTGCATATACGGAGTTTTAGTAACGTTTATAAAGTCCCTTATTACCGCGAAAAATGCAAAAACGGAACTTTACTTTATAGGACCAAAGCTTTAAACTATTCTCCACTATCAGGATGATGTTTACCTGATAGAGCTACCTTCCATATTTTGATGGCCAAGAATCTAAATCTGCCTAAAAAAATTTATGTTATTTTAGAAAAAGAGCGTTTTTATGCCTAATTTACTAACTCCATTAATAAATAAAACCTATCATTTAGCATTTAGAGGAGCAATTTTTCAAACCATAAAGATCGGCACTAAGTATCTGAGAATCCTATTATTGAAGCAAAAGTTATTCAGGGTGTTTTTTTTTGTTGTTGTTCACTTTGCGTTAATAAATGTACTTTTAAATATGTTTCTTACAATACACATAATATATAGGATTTAATATGAAATTTGTAGGATCTGAACAAATAAATTTCCTCATGCGGAAATAAGAATTCGTTTATCTTTTCTTTCTTAATCTACAAAACTTCAAATTCCTGTAATAATAACGGTGATGCTCTTTAACATTACCAATGCTTCTCGCGAGAAGCTGATAAATTTTAGCTAAAATTTTATTTTCAAAATGGTATAATAATTATGGTCATTGTATGTAACTATAAAATGAGAGAATCTTCTTTACCTTTATTTTTCAAAATTTCAGGAAATTAAAAACCATGCAATTTAAGCTATAAAAACTAATGGAATTTTAGTAGTTTATACTTTGGTCGTAAATTAATGCTACAATTTTTGACCCAACACCTCTAAATGGGTTAAAAACAAGTAGTACTTGACATTATGTAAAATGTAGCTGTATTTTTAAAAACCTAATAAATATTTAAATATCTTTTCATTTTTAATTATTTTAAATATATTAGATATATGCTCTTTTGGATATATTTAGATACATGCTCTTACGAAATTCACTCTTCTAATTTTTATTCATGTATAGATTCAGACAGAGAAGATCGGGAGAGTACAAGCAGCAGTATGAGTACAGCAAATGAAAAATCAACAATTAATGCGTCTTTTATCTCATCTACATTGTGTTCAGGTAAAATTACATCTCCCAAATGTAAACTTTAATTGCATGATATATCAATTACTTGGTAAAACAAAACTTTTAAGTTTTATTGTATACTACACTTTAACTCATACTGAGCTTATTTAAATTCAGTTATTACCTGAATCTGTTCTAAGTTGCTATTTTTTCTTTTATTTTTCAGAAATCTTAGAGGGAAAGAAACCCGGCAGAAGAGGTAGGCCACCTAAAACGGAAGCCAGATCTTCCAGAAGTCGGCAAGGTATCTTGTCGGCATAAATCTTTTTTTCGTGAAAAAAAGTTAATTTTAATGCCTAAAATTATAATTAAACAAAAACAAAAACAACGATAAGCTTTACTTTTATCAAAAATATATTAGTTTTCTTTAGATTCGTGCGAGCATCGTCATAAAAACGGTATACTTTTTTTATCTATCTAAAAATAAAAGCACGTTTATTTATAAATTTATTTAAAAAAATAAATAAATAAAATTGAGAAAAAATAAAGACTTTTAAACAATATTTTTGTTTAAACTTTCGATTTTTAAATCAATTACAAATATTTAACAAAAAAATTAACATCTTGGATATTACTAAAACTGTAGTAAAATATTAAACTAATATTTTTTTCTTATTTCTTTTTATCATTTGTGCATTACATAATAACTTGTATAAAACAGTTTTAAAACATGCCTGTGCTTTTTTAATTCACTTTTTTATGTAAAAAAAAAGGGTATACAAACATTTATTTGTCTTGAGAAAAAAAATTTTTCTCTAATTAAATTGATTTTATAACGATTTAATAATAAAAAAAGTAAAATTTTTATTTTTTTTTACCATATTTTACGAAAAATGGGGAAAAAACAACATCCTTCAGCAAGACACTTGTTTTTAGTTAGTTTTATCCTTCAGCAAGACACTTGTTTTAGTAATTATTTGTAGATTTTTAGAATGCTTTCGCTAAATAATTAACTTCTCTTCACTTTACTTATGGCATAATATGTCGCTATTATATTCTCTTCAAATAATATTAATCGTAGAAAAATTTAATAAGACGAATTTTTTGATGATAGGATTTTAGAAATTTGTTAATTCACTAAACATTTGTCACTCATCATCTCAATTGATCTTATCTTAAATCATTTAATATCGCTTGTAATTTTATCTTATTTTATTTGACTTGCTCTGTTATTCCCGTGCCACTTGTTTTACTATTTCCATAGTCACTTGTAAATAAATGTTAATTTTTAACAATTAAAAAATATTATCTATGTGTGTCCTTAACGCCTTGCTATATTTATTTGCCCAATAACCATACAAGAATTGAAAAGGTTTAAGCTTTAAGCCTTGAAGGTAAAATTCAGTTGCCGACAGCTGACAAAGTAGTCGATTAGTAACCGACAGCTGACAAAATTCGTAACTTGCACTGATGTTTATTAATAACCGATTGACTATTTCAAGGTTACGTATGAATAATTAACAAGTTTTTTACTGTAAATCGTAAATTTTTTCCGAAATTCCGCCATTTTCCATTTTATTGTATAACCAGCGTCAAACAGCGGATCAGTTCTAAATTTACGACTATCTATATTCTACTTCATAGCCCTGTAATCTTGATTCAAATCCAGAAGACAAGGAAACTCCGAAATCATACAATGGGACAAACTACCTCTCGTGGAGGACTTTTTAGAAGAACTAGCCCTCATTTGCGTTATCTGGAGGGGAAACCCTCTCACGGTTAGCCCGACGACAAAGGGAATTCTAACCCATGCTCCGTCTACTACTGAGGATATTTTTATGTCCGCGCTGTAGTCGGTGCGAGCCAGGAGAAGATTTCGTAACGATCAGCTACAGCTGGGATTCGTACCTGATTCACCTCCTCCGCATTCTTTTCCTCTTCTGCTGAGCCACCACGACTCACCATTGTCCATTAGGTATTTTCTACATTATTCTAAGATACCTTTACATCTTGCAATGTATTTAAAAAAATCGTTTTGGTTACATGGACAGCTTAATGGTGGTTATTTTCAAAGCGTATAAAGAGCTTCGCGTGTATAACTGCTTATTTTATATATTTTTTATAAAAGTATAATTAATCAATATGATAAAAACTGCCTAAATATACCTGAAAATAACAGCCATGATTATTCTCTCATCTCTCAAATATGATGGGAAAAACGATTGGTTCTATCTTTTAACCACTTCTTCGCGTGTGCAAGGTCCTATGTGATTTGTCTTGTCCATCTTGTCTTGATCGGAAGTGAGATTAAAACCATTGTTTACCTGCACTATAAAAAAAAAAGATTCTGTGTCACCCTTATTTCGTCCTTTTTACTTACAGGCAAAGGAAACGGAAAATTGTGGGAATTCATCCGTGACTTATTGCTGGATCCCGCCACGAATCCCAGCCTGATTCGCTGGGAGCGGCCTGAAGACGGAATCTTCAAATTTGTGCAGTCTGACAGGGTGGCAAAAATGTGGGGGGATAGGAAACAGAATCCTAGAATGACGTACGAGAAATTAAGCCGAGCCATGCGGTAAGTAATCAAATATTTCATCATACAGACAGACAATTTCGATTAAAAATTTTCAGACATTTTTATATTATTTCAAGGCTAAAGGAAAAATAGTAATAAACAATTGCAAATTTGTTTAAATGTTTAAAGTATTTCTCAATGTTTATTTGATGTATTACTAATTCAAAGTATTTTAAAGAATTTTAATCTCTTATCTATATATAAAAAGTTGTAGCTAAAAAAAAATATTTTGTCTCAATGGATTTAGTTTTATTAAACTAGTTTTACCTAGTGCTAAGTGGCACAGTACTATATACATTATTAGAAGATGTTTTTTTTTAAGTATATAAGTCTCATTTTTATTCTTTAACTTTAATTTCCTAAATTTATATGTGCTTCAGATAATGAAATTCGGTAAGAAATATTTGATTTTATAGATAGTATTTAGCAATACATATTAACATAACTATTTAGAGTGTGTTAAATTCGTTAATGTAGTCAAATTCATTTTTTTTAATTTGCATTTTTAAAAATGAAGAAATCTGTAAAAGATCCTGCATTTTTTTAAAATTTTGTTGAAAATTATCTCAAATTAGTCCATTTCTCTTTTATATAAAGCTGAAAATTTTTAAAATGTGCATTATAAATGTTAGCAAACATAACGAAATAGCTTACTCAAATAAAGCTGATACCGAAAGCAAAAAAATATTCGTATTCTTTGCGGTAATAAAAATAGAATTATAATTATAATTTTAATTAAATAGAATATTAATTTTAATCGTTTGTAACAGATGATAACATACAAAAACAATTTTGCTTTTTGAACGGAGAAAATAGTTCTGGTAAGATTACCGTACTGTATGATAAAGACATTTTTAATTAAAAAAAAAACATAATTCTGGTTTTGAAACTAAAAAATGCGGTATTTAAATCATTCATTTGTTAATTTTTCTGTTCGTATGTTACTGGAAATTCTGGTTTTCAAAATCGTAATTCTTATTACTACACATTTAGTAAAAAGAATCTGAAAAGAAATTTTAATAAAATAACCAAAAATAACCATGAAAAAATAACCAAATTTTAGCAAATATGAAGTACAACTATATTTTGTTGTTAATTTTCCAACATTATTACCTAAGTGCTTCGGTAACATTTCCGAGCTTTTTGATGTTCCTATAGAGCCAAAAAGCGCAATTTTTATCATACTTCGGTAGTTTTACCGTATTTTTTTGCACTTTGCAAACAACAATAGTAGCTACAACAATTTATATTAAAATATTTAGGATTAAAAACATGTAGCAACAAATTTAAATTAACAAAAACTCTTTTGGGAAAAGGAATGAAAGATTGCTCAACAAAAATAATTGCTTTAGTTGGAATTGAGTTATTCCTGAATTATAATCTTCCTTCAATTTCGGTATCAGTTTCATTTGAACAAACCAAACTTTTTAAACTAGAATAAATTTCCGGGTGTTTTAATTTTGTGTTTACTGTTTTATTATTCTAATAAAACCGTGACTCTTCTTAGAACTTATTATAGCAGTGGAATTCTTTCTCCTGTTCCCAAAACAGAAGGGCTTCCAAAAAAACTCATCTACCGATTTGGGCCGAAAGCAAGTGGCTGTATACCTGATATTCATGACCGCTCATGAAAACTTGCAAACAAATATCATTCTGGAGATCTTTATTTTGGTGATTGGTACTTTCTCTTTTCTGTGGAACTAATCTTTAATTGTTACAATTCCTTATTAACTATGGTTTTGGTTTATTTGCATGCAATGTATACAATGGTGTTAATACTAATGTATTTCTTTAACATTTTAAACTTTACACCTGATCTAATTGGTTTCTTCCTTGCAACATTTCTTTTTCTTTAATCCTATAACATCCAACCATAACATTTTAAGACTTTGGTATTTTAGAAATGGTATTAATCATTTATTTTCCTGAATATTTTTTTTATTATTTATTACCATTATTAGTTAACAATTTAATATGCCCTTTTTTGCGTTCAGTAAACATTTTAAAGAAAACCTCAATTAATCTAATTATCAAACCTGTTATTTTGTAAACATCAAAGAAATTAGTTTATTTCACATGTAAACATATTTTAACAACTTTCCCATAATTTTTCTTTAATATTGTTTTTACCTTCCAACAATAAATGTTCCTTCATACTTCGTATTTTGTAATTTTTTTAAAATCTAGATTTTTACTGAAAACACACTAATAATGTTTGTAGGAAATGCTGCAATAAAGTTAACGAGTCTAAGACTTTAAACCGTAATTAAGTTTAATTGGTAAAATGTATCTTAAACATATTGACTATTTTTTCGTTTAAACTACTACGTTTATACTACTTTTTAAATCGATTCTTGCTTTATATACAAGTAAGCATCCTAAAACATTCAAGCAATTTCAAATTTCGGGTAGAAGGTTTTAAATTTTTGCAAAAAAAGCTCCACCAAACACTTCAATTATGTTCTTTCTCAGAACTCTAGAATGTTTAATTATTATTCCTCCAAAGTTATGACATTTTAGTACATGGTCTTTTAATTAAATGTTGATATTATTATGTTAGTCTTTTTTTAAAAAATAAACAATGAATTTCACTTATGTGCCGGTCTATGGGACCAACAGAAAAAAGCGCATTAGTAAAAGAGACACATAAGTGAAAGGCCTGTTCAAAATTCTAAAACGCAGCATAGACTGCAATGAGAACATGAATAAAAATGTTTCTAAAGATTAAATGTTAATATTTATAATGGTTTAGATATTTACTGTTTACTGATATTTACTGAACAGTTTTTTTTAAAAAATTCATGCAAATAAGAAAATTTAGTTAGAGGAAACTGAATTTATCAGAAAATAGTCTTGAATTGTGTCAAAGGCTTCAAACGCTTTCGTATGATTTGAAGGAACTTTTTCCTCATCTTCATCATTATCATCATCCACGTCATCATCAGCCATTTCATTAACGATGTTAACGATTCGTCATCACTAAGATCGACATCCCATTCTCCTTCAACTTTGTTGATTAGATCATTATATTTATTTTCGTCAAAAAATGGACTTATTTTGTCTTATTCAATTTTCGCTTAGTTTTATTTAAACAAGAGTTAAGTCGTTGTTAAGAGTTGTTTTAAATATTCTATATATTTATTTGTTTTGGAATATATTTGTAATTTTTATTACATTTATTAAATTAATCATAGTTTTCTTTCTTTTAAAAGGACAATATGTTTTTATACTACTTGCCGTAAGAAATAAAGATTTTGTAAATTTTTTTTTAAATTTTAATTCTACTCAAAATAAATACTAAATTATATTGGAAAAATAAAAACAATAATTTGTTTACTTATAATTTTTAAATGTTTTGATGACCTTTTTATATTATTTTTTAAGGACCTTAGAGTAAATAAAAATCTATCCAACCGGGAGATACATTTAATTTTTAATCATTTAATATTTTCCTTTACTCTTCGTTTTTGTATTTGTTAATGTAACTTTTAGATTTTATGACCTGTTTGTTTAAATAAATATTTTTAAATAAATATTTTTAAATATTATTATTAAGCTCGTTTGCTTTTACCTTAAAAGCTCATACGTTATAATACCTAATATAATTATTCTTATGATTTTTTTTTTAGTACAGCGAGTGAATAAAGCATAAAAATGAACGGAAGTAAATTAATGAATCAACCAATCTTAGTATCAGAAAAACAGTGAATCGGAGAATCACTACGGGAGAGTCAGTGAACATGCATATATTAGTTGTTTTAGCGAATCGACGATATGACTATCTTACTTATTCATCTTTAAAAATTTTCTTATAATTTTTTGAACGATAACTAGAAATTCATCAACTCATAGAAATATAATTCATCTCTCATATATTATAAATTAATGTATGGTAATTCAATATCTATAAGCAGGCGTAATTTTTATATATTTATTATTTGCACAAATTTTTTACGATAAATATAATGTATTTGACAGTTCATAACCTATGAAAAATTTAATGTTTTGTTTATTCATATATTTTTTTTTTGCTTTTCTAAAATGATTTTAAGAGCAGAAATGTGAAAGGAAAATTCCCGTGCAGAAGCTTGAAAACTCCCCTTACAATGATTATGAAATGAAAATATTTTTCCAAGGAAATTTTCAAGCTTTTGATGTAACAGTACATTATGAGCTCCTCAGATAAAAAATTATTCATTCCTAGAGAAATGCTCAAGTAAGTGGCCCGCAATGTCTTGGATTTTTTTCCCTATAACTAATTGGGCTCTTTCACTAAAGGTTCGTTCAAACATGAACCAGCATGTTTATTTCAACACCTTTCAGTCAACATAATACGCTCTTATACCCTATTTTTCAAGATTACAGTAGCATAGTTCATCAGGCTGGAAAATATGAGGCTGGGTTTATGAACACTTGCATACCCTATTAAATCTCGACTGGCTGCCAAAAGCGCCTAACTTGAACCTTGCAAGAAAAAACATGTGGGATTTGTTGGAACAGCAGGTAAAAATGCCAAAATCATTGACCTTACGCGATCAAATTTTTAGCAAGGAGTTTAAACTGGATGCAGCGTACTATAAACCCTTGTAGACTTGCTTCCCAATAAATTCCAGGTGGTTATCAAGTCCAAAATCCATGATGCTTTACTTGATTTCTCTAGAAGTCCAAATTTTTTGTCCGATAAGCTTATGCAAATGCATTCTATTATAATTTCCTTACTACTTATTGGATAAGATTAATAAAAGCTTCGAGCAAAAAATGAATAATTATAGCAATGCAAAATGTATTCATAATTTACTTAAAGAAAAGTTACACCGATCGAATATGTATTATGAAAGAGATAATAAAGAAATTTAAAAATGTAAAAAAACTTTCGATTAAATTTATTGTCTTAAATTCATTAATAAACTGCGGAGTTATTTTATTGGACTTGTATGGTCGTATAGAACGCTAGTGAAATATAATTAAGTTGATTTTTATATTTAATTATCTTCAGCAAAAATTCGAATGCTATCATTATTGTATATTAATCAAATCGAAAATGAATCTTTTAAAAATTCATGCAGTTAAAATTTGGATGACTAACTTATCACGGTGCACTTCTACTTAAAAAAATTTTTAACTAATAAAACCCCCGAATTCATTGGGGGTTTTTTTCTTTCTAGAAATGATGTTTTATGGAGCATCAAAATATAATGGTCTTCTGGCGTATTTATTTTTAAAAAAATTAATCACAGAAAAATGTAGCACATTTAATTTAAATATACTGATAAAGATATTAAATATTTTTAAGTTTGATAAAAAGACATACAATTTTAATTTTAACTACAAAAATATTATGTAAATATTTTTATTATTTACAATCGTGCTGATCCCCTCCATTTAACGAGTTAGATGAGGTTTTTCAAATTATCTCACACAAAAGAAATTGTGATTTTTTTTCTAGTTGGGCTTCTAATATATTGAGAACTGAAACTTAATAAGCGTAAATTTTGATTTATTAATTCTAGAAATTATTGAAGACTTATATCTAATTTTTGTTATTATTACTGTATGTTTGTTATTTTTTTAAAATATTAAAAATATCTTTTAATTTGTGTAACCAAACATCCAAATGTATTTTTAAAAAATATTTTATTTTAAAAATGTTAGTGTAAAAACTATATACAGGATTTACAGTATTAACCATCCTTTATGCACACTTTTAAAATCGTTGACAAAAATGGAATTGAGAACGCAAACACAACACGTGACCCAAATTATTATTTTTGCGAAAGGAAAATAAAACCATTGACAAAATCTAACGAATTATTTCTGAGGAAGTCTGGAGGAAAAAAACAGCTTGATTGCTGGGTGAAATTTCAAGGCGTTGTTTTTTGCCTCCTCCCATTTGTCGTTGCTCACTGCCTCTCTTGACGAAGAAATTAACTATTTTTACCTTTTTAATTTGGCGTTCCTCCTTAATGATTCTTGACGAGTTTTAATGACGTTTTCCTCTTTAACTCGTTTGAATATTAGTTTGCTTCTTTTCATGTAAATATTGTTTTGATTTCATTTTTACAAGGTTTTAAAAATGCTCTTCAGGCTAGTTTGAAAAGGCTAGTAGACTCCACTGTGTATTTTGTAATGCTCTAGGTTGTTTGAAAAGTCTCCAATATCAGACTGACAGATTTTAGAGCTATTGCTATGAATTCACTTACTATTATACTAATTATAGATCATATATTGCATTGTTAAGCCTGATTTTTTTTAAGTCATTTGCGATGAGCCTAGTGTAATTTTCGAGGGATGTAAAAACTTATGTTTAACGCACCTCAGTAAACAAGCCTAAGTATATTTTGGCAGATTATTTAAATCCTAAAACTTAAATGAGCAAAATGTAATAATCCTAGAAAAATTAGGCTAAACAGAAAATTCTTGATGCTCTTCCGATTAGATAGACGCATTGCAAAATAACAGCAATATTTACAAAGAACCAAGTTTTTTTAATTTGACTATTCCATATACATGAAAGATGGTTGTTACAAAAACCCTGTATGTAAATCATTCATTGCTAAAAAACATGATAGTAACATGCATAAATTTTAATCATCAGGTACTATTACAAGAGCCAAGTGCTTTTACCTGTCTTTGGAAGGCGGTTGGTGTACAAGTTCGGACCAAATGCTACAGGTTGGAGGCATGGACCTGGTTACCACTAAAGGATTATTAGTGCACAGTCATTTCTAATTCCATGTTCATGTCCTCAAACTCTCTTGTTTGTACAGATGTGGTTTTTATCATCTGAACCAAACTATTAAAAGATGCTCACTTCTCATATTTTGTTATACATTTATCTATACACACAAAAATGAATTTATGGGAATAGATGATATTGAACAATTTTCGAAGGAAGAGAACGAAAACAAATTTTTTTGATGAGGTGGAATCCGATGTATTTTCTTAGTGTTGTACGTTTGAACGCTCTGTGATTTTTATAAAATCTCTTCCGTGAATCACGTTACGATCTCTTTCTAAAAAAGGTGATTTTTTTCAACATTTCTAAAGATTGCATCATGTCATTTCTGAAGTTCATTTGGTAAAATATTTTTGTTTTTAAATGAATAATGTAGTTGTTCACAAATATTTCTTTTTTTTTGTGATTTTGTATGTATATTATTTTTAATGTGCGCTTTTTGTTGTAAGTTTGTAAAGAATTTTTTTATAGCTTCTTTCCTTCAACGGATAACAAATATTATAATTTAAATTTTCATTTATTGGTTATCATTTTAATACTTTAGTTCATCAATTTTTATTTCTAACATTATTCGATCTAATATTTGTTAGCTGTTATAAAAACTATTTTTCATTTATCGTAAAGCATATTTCTACACTTGACAGTTAGAATAACCAGCTCTGGAGTTTAAATTAATCATAAATTGAAGATTATTGCTGTAAATGTTTATTTTTACATCTAGAATTAAGAATTAACTTCTAAATTTTTTCTCGACACTCTATTACTTTGGTTACTTACTTAAATATGTTAGTTAATGCGAAAACATGCTTTTTCGAATGTGATCAATAATTTATAGTATGGAATTTTTAATGTTTAAAATTAAAATGTCACTGTGTTATTTCATTTTTATTTTATAATAAAGCGTATTTCTATTCTCGATATTGACGATAAATTTCCACGACATTTGCAAACTTGCTGTGGAGTTTCAGGAAGTTTACGAGGTGCAGATTTACGTAATTGTAGTAAATATTTGTTATTTTTTCTACCAAAACGAAATACTGCGAAACTTCACAAGTGTTTTTCACCATAGCATTACTCTTAATGACTCATGTTAAATTGTTAGTCAATACTCCAGTTATTTGAAGATGTTAGTAGGAAAAAAAACATCTCGATTATTTTCAATATTTTTCATAAAGAAATGTTTAGTGCTCAAAGTGAAAACGCTTTAAAAACACCATATCATGACATACAAGCTTTATTATTTCTAATTGCTTTTGTGTAGTTATTTACATTTTTCATGAATTGTATATCATTTCTCTTCTGCTTGTCTGTTGTTGCTGTCATCAGTGTTGGTACTTTATTTTGTAAAATAACACGATTTGTTTTTTGTCTTCTCTTTTTTTCATAAGAGATTATATAAATATATATACATATGTATTCGTAAAAGTATTATGAAGTATATGGTAGATTTTTTTCTTGTTAGATTTGAACGCAGGTTGAATGCAATTTTTGTATAAATTGAATATATTAGATGTGAGATAGCTATATACTTTCACTGTAAATACAATGTTAAATAGTTTTATATGAAAATGTTTAATAATAGTTAAATTTTAAAATCTATATTTAAATTGATAAAAATATTTTTATATATCTTGGTCTAAGTCTTTTATGAACTTTTATAGATAAAATAATATTATAATAATTATAATCATTTTTTGTAGTAACGGTGATTAGTTTATAATATTAATGATTGTTATTATATTGTAATGATATTGATTATTATACGTTATTAATAAATATTGTTATACTGTAAGAAGTATTTTTATACTATATTGTAATAATTTTTAGACTACAACAATAATGATTACTATACAGCAGCAAATTAATAACAAAAGCAATACGCTAAAAATTGTTGTAACTTTAATATGTGTTTAAAATGAATTACTAATTTATTTAAGCTATGTAAAAAATTTTAACTTAGTTACTTTTTCTAATCATTTTTAAAAATATATTTTTTCATATATGTTTCAAAGGTATATTTCTATATTATTATACTTCGGCTCATGTGATTAGTTTTAATCATATTTACGATTTTTACTAATATCGCTTTAAAGAGATTAAATGATCAATTACCTATGAAGTGATCAATTTTTATATCAATGTCCTCATAACAATTGCATTGAGATTTAACTTGTTATTTAATTGTTCGCTTACTAATGTTAATAATCAACACGAACAAATTTCATAGTTTTATTTTTAAATATACATATCAAGTGTTCACAATCAAAAGTTTTATTTCTAAAATTTTATTTGTGTGTTGAATATTTTTAGTTTTATCATTTATATATAGTTGTATATTAAAACTGTATATATGTTTCAGAATATTGGATGAAATATTTTTAATAAATGTTTACAACTAATAAATATAAATCAAAATGTGCAATTTAACAATTTTGTATAAAAAAAATTGGAATAAACTTTTCAGGTGCATATTTATAAACTAGTTTTTAAAGTTAATCAATGTTTAATAAATATTTTAAGATGTTTTCTTCAAATGTTATTGATTAAAATTTTTAAACATTTTTAACTCAGTTATAAATAAAAGATTTATACACTCATTTATATAAATTTTATACTATTTATAACTCTTCTGCAGTCATCTTGAAAGTTTCTTAATTGAATCTTTTTAGAAGAGGATTGTATGAAAATTTGAATTTTTCATCTGTAAATAGATTTCATGTGCCTTTTTTTTTTTTAAATATTTTTTTTCCTTATTATAAAAATAAAATTATTATTCTCCAAAGGATGTGTATTTATTTGTTCAAGTTTTTTTTAAAACAGTTTTGAATGGGGACGTCTGGAAATATGATTCAATCACATTAAATTCTCTCTGAGCCCCGTATAAAAATTTCGTTTCAATCAGTTTTTCGTCTTACCCAAACATACAGTGAGCAAAGTAAAAATTGGCCCACCCTCAATAACGTTTGATTCAATTATCTTTTTTAGCCAAATGCTTTTCATTATACATATTCTCGTTCCTAAAATAAAATATAAACATGTTAGCATAGAAGTTCCAGTATCAATGAGTTTTTTAATTTTAATCTTACTATAATTTTACTTTTCGTAACCAAAACAATTTTTTATATTAATTTTCTTTTCACAAAAATTAAATTTCAGTATTAACAGTGCAATAGCTTTCCTTAGTATAAATAATAAATTTCTAAAACATTTATTTAAATTTTTAGCACGTTGACTACCTCACGCATTTGTAGGGAAATCTCCTTCAGGCCACGAGTACCGCTGTACAAAGCGTATTCTGCTAAGTACTCCCCCCGATATTTTAATAATGCGAGTCTCTGGTGGTCACAAGAATAGTATCTTGCTCCGTTTGTTTCCATGGTATCGTTTCTGTTTATTTGTGTCCGTTGCTTGGCATCAGTTTCTCATCCAGCCACAGTTTTAATCTTGGGCGAGTAAAGAGAAGTATAAGTAAAATTCTTTACCCAAATTCGTTGAAATTTCTGAAAGAAAAATGGAAAACTTATTTCTTAGTGAGTCAAATAGCTGTGAACAAGAAAGCTTTTACGAGGCTCACAATAATTCTCCTAATAAATCATTTTTATATTACTTTTATAACAACTCAATAGTTTTGTTACTTCCTGTGAAATATCTTTTCAAATACATGCGAATATCCTTCGCGTGTAGTCAAATATGTGTCACCCCAATGCGGGTGACGCTGCCCAATCAGAAACTTGGCTGTCACCCGAATATGACTGACGCGGCAGTCAATGTGTTAGAGAACAAAACATCTTCTATCATAATAATTACTACTATTGTATTTAAATATTAACATTAATAAAATAAAAATGGAACGGAATAACTTTTGATCTAGTAATCGGATCTTCACATTCTAGGACCCAATCTCAAAGGTTCGAAAGAGTGATTTCAAATATACTAATTAATAAGTGCAGACGATATTTTAAGTTACAAAATCAAATACAAAAACGTGCTTCTTCTGAATAAACGCACCTTTTTCTCCGATGAATTTGGATTACTGACACCCGAAATATGGTTCAATAGAGTGGTAAAGAGAGCAATTCAAACTTTGGACCCCGTAATATTAATTTTAATTTATGCATATTTCACCCTATTTTGAGATATTTTAAAACGCATAAAAAAATTTCACGCAATTATTCATCTATAATTCCATGCAGAAAATAACTTTTAGTAAATACTTATTGTTTTTTATTATTTTATTTAATAATAATGTATATAATTTTTTCATCAATTTCTAAAACTGTAATATAAAATTTGGCGAAAATAAAATTTGGCGATAAAGACAAAATATAAAATTTGAGCGAAATCAGTCCATTAGTTCCTAAAACATTGAATTTAAAAAAAGTCGTATTTTTGAAGTTCAATTTCTCAGGAATTGTTCGACTGATTTCGCTCAAATTTGGTATTTTGCCACGTAAAATTATTTTTGAAATTATACAAAAAATTTTATGCAGCAAAATTTAAAAAATTTTCGACTATTATTAAATAAAATAATAAATAATACAAATAGATATCAATAAGAATTGCTAAAAGTTATTTTTCACATGAAATAATCTTTGGCAATTCGCACAGAATTATAAACGAATTTTAGAATTGTGTGTAAAAATTTTTCAATTCGCTTGAAAAGTTCTCGAGATTTGGCAAAATACGCAAAAAGTAACATTGAATGGTCCAAAATTTGGACAGCTCTCCTAACCAAACTAGTCGGACCTCTTTCTGTATTTTGGGAATCGGAAATCATTAACTGGCGAAAAAAGGGTATATTTATTCAGAGAAAGTGCGTCTTTGTGCGTCTTCATAACTTAAATATCGTCTGCACTAATTGATTAGCCTATTTGAAGTCACCCCCTTGAACCTTTAAGAACGTAACAGAACGTTAAGATCTGATCTTTAGATTATAAATGATAAAGCATTTTTAAAAAACTTACGTATTTCAATCAATGAAGCTTTAATAAATGATTGATTCTTAATTTTAGTATATGCAGTCAAACCTCGCTATAGTGAACCTTCAAGGGACCGAAATTTCGGTTCACTATAACCGGGTGTTCACTATATCCGTTTCG